TTATTAATGATTTCAAGAAGCCAGGAAAATGACAACACAAAATCTAGTCATCTTGAAAAATTTTTTGAAATAGGTTTTGAACCAGAAAATTGGTTCCTTATTCATGCAACAAGACAACTTCTGCTTGTATGAATAACCTTTTCACAACAACTATAAAGATTGTAGAGAGTTTAAACTTCCAGCTTAATAACGATGCACTTGCTTTTTGAAGTAGTCTTATATAATATTTTATGAGCATTTAATTTATGTGTAAAGAGAGTTTTAAACTGATTGAATTAAAAATGCAAGCTATGTTTCATATCTAATTATTCAAACATGAATTCCTTGAACCATATAAGTTTCCTCTGAAAAAAGGAAAAAGAAATTGAAGGCCATGAGCAACCGTAAGAAATAAATCGAAAAATATAAACATGCTTTTTTTATTAAGCATTTTGCTACCTTCCAATGACGAAAACTGCATTGATTAAACTGAAATATGTATTTTCCAAGAATTAACTTACAGCGTACCCTGCAACCCTGTTTTTTGTTTGATTGATTTTCAAGAAATCAGCTATTTGCATGCAATATGAGATGAACTATTTTTATCGCCTTGAAATAAAAAAAACCCAATGTAATGTGCAAATATAAAATATTTGGTAACTGTTACCTTCTACAATGATCGATTTCACTGATTGGAAACTAGGTGTGGTCACAATAAATGATTACAATTGTCACAATAAATGTTCTAAATCATTCAGATAGGATTTCTACAATCTGATAGTTTAAAAAGCGGTTAGATAGTTTAGATAGTTTAAAAAGCGGTAAAGGTTTTTCAAGGCTACAGAAAAATGAAACTTCAACTTAAGTATTATTAAAACGACATCACATTGAGCATTATAAAATATTTTTTTGACTCAAATTTTTTTTCGCTCCTTTAAACTATTGCATTTTTTCTCAACTTTGTCATCACTTTAACCTTTTAAAACTAGGAATCAATATGCATTCTACCACAAAGGAACAATTTCTGTATTCACTTTAGAAATTCCGAAGGTATTAGAAGATCTGACAGCAGGTTAGCGTTATCAAACAGTACCTATTTCTTTAATAAAAAAAAGATGACTCTTATAATTATTGTTTCATCATCAGTTTTCATCCATCAGAAGCAAAATATGATTCTCAAAATTAGTAATTTCAAACTTTAAAAGTTCATAAATAATGTCTAAGTTAGACTACTTTAGTACTGTAAGAGAGACTACTTTACTTCATACATTTGTCAAAATCTTTATAATACTTATTAAATTAATTTATTAAATAATAGTCAAAATAACAGAGAATGGTGAAAATCTGAAAATAAAAACATTAAAAGTGGGAATTTAAATAGGGTTCGATACATAATACAATTTATTTTGCTTTCTTTAAAAATTTTTAACATACAATAATACCTATTATTCAAAGTGTACTGATGCAAGTTTTATTTTATTTATACTTTCTAGAAGTTCAAATGCACTTTAAGTTTTAAATGCACCTAAAATTTTCAAATGCACTTTAAGTTTCACTAGGCACCGTAAACTAGAAACTGTACAAAATCGACACTTTATGGGATATGTGTATTAAGCAGGTAAGGGGAGGGGGAATTTCTTCAATTTTTAAAATTAATTATAGTCTAGAGTAAAGGAGTTAATGCAATTAAAAAGTCTATGAAGGTTAGTATGTCTCAATGCTTGATCCAAGATTTCTTTTGGTTTGTTCAAGATTAAATGGCTAGATCGGAGGTTACACATTGTTAGTTTTAAATCTAAAAGTGGCTGGACGATACCGGTGATGAAATAAAATAAATAAAATGGTTTTAAATCTACCATAGTACTAATTGAATGTTCTAACGTTTGAATAAGTAGCAGGAGGAAATTTTTTCAGCGATATAGTTTCTTTGAAACAAATATGTCACCAAATGTATTTAAAAATTTACAAAAACTCGCGTGAAATATTACTGAGCATGCTACCTAACCTAAAACATTTGACTGATGAATTATAAATGCAAAGAACTTTAAAATTTAACTGAGAAAACACCATGAATTTTAATTTTAAATTACGTAAACACTTAATATTAAATCAGACCTTGACCTCGTCTGAACAACTAGGTAATGAATAACAATAAAATTATTTATTTAATGAGCAACCATAAGTTTTCAATTGAAAAGATTCCTAAATTAATCTTATCAAAAATTCCAGCAAACTCTCCATAAAAAATACCGAAAGCCATAAATTTCAACAGCGGAAGAAAGTTTCGTTATCTTTAAAATTGACTCATGCTTATGCAAATAACGCATATTAATGTGATTACCATAATTATTTTTTTATTGATTTCTGCAAATCTTTAATTGCTATTTATATGTTATGTCACACTCAGGAGGTGCTACGTATTCAAAATGATCTAATAAAATGTATATGTTTCTACATTTCGTTTTGTTACAATATTCAAAAGTCAAAAAATTCTTTATTCTTTCATATTTAATTATAAATAAAATTTTTTTCATAAATTATTACTTGTGTCTTATATTTGAGTTAATTAATTAGCAATTTTACGGTTCGTTAGATTATTTCATTCTACTAATGGTGCTGCTATCCGAGAAAAATTACGTAAGGATATTTTGAAAACAACTGACCAACGTGAAGCAGTTTAAGGACAAAAATAACACTTATTTTTGAAAATAAATGAAGGACAAAATTAACACTAATTCTTGTGCATACAAATGCATAAAAGTTTTTTTTTATTTTTTATTTCCTTCTGAAGGAAATGTTTGGTAAGCTCTGTCAGAATATTATCAGCAACGTAATGGCGTCTCCGATTGAAATTATTACATTCAACAAACGGTGCTGCTGAGTGCTAACAGAAAAAAATTACATGATAAAGTTTTGAAAACGAATACAATTTTCATTAACAATGTCATGCAGTGTAAGGAAAAATTAACAGCATTTGCGCATAAATTTCAACTAAAATAGGGCGGCATGGTATAATACTGCAGAAAACATTGCCTTATAAATTTAACAGTTGGTCGTGCCATCTGTTGATGAACTTTGTGACTTTTTTTAGTCAAGTTGCTGCAATGAGAAACAAAGGTTAATAGGGAATGATTTGTAGTATTTTTTTAAAGGCGGATTTTTGAAGGCTCCGTCGGAATATGAAATGATGCTTTTTTGCGAATAATATGCTATTTTTATAACTGCTGTGAGTTTGCAACTGTTACCCATGACTGTTAGGACAAGTTTAGCTGTTCTAAAGACAGCGCTGTCTACGCTTTTTTTGAAAATGGCGTAAAACGTCAGTATGGAAAAAGCCACAGTTTCGTGTAAATGAAAAGAGTTTATGGTCTAATATTTTAATATTTAAGAACTTACTCCGATACTGTATTACTTGGGCTCCTAAAAATTTGTAAAAACTTAGAATAAGGCAGTGATTTTGATAATTTTTATCTATCTCTAAAAATGTCGCCAAATTGGCGACATTTTTAATAAAGTTTAATAACTTTTAAAATATTTAAGTTATTTGTCTGCTCTAAAGCCCAGATAATTCTTCAGGCAAAGATTATAAATATATTTTAAAATCATAGCATTGCTTCAAGTGCGAGGCACTTAAAATAAGACTCTTTTTTTCCTTAATGACAAAAACTTCTTGCTTCGAGAAACAGCGTTAAAAAACTTTCAATAACATAACTGCCATTTTTTTTCATGCTTCACAAAAGCTTCTTCTCAATGGCAGTAAAATAACTAATGGACTGATAATGTAGGGCATATACTTAATTCACCTCTCTCCATCACTTAAAAAGCATTTAGATAACTAACTAGTTCTATTACATATGGTTAAACTATTCAAATGTAGTGGTAGTAAAAAGTATAATTAAACAAATTTGTTAAAACAAAAATGCAAAAATTTTGCCACCTTATTGAGTACACAAATGAGACCGGAGTCCGGACTTGCCAACTCTTCCGGAAAATCTGAAAGAGTTGCAAGTATGCAATAAAAAACGGTAGATATGAAATATTTAAAGCCTTATTAGTTCTCAACTTTTATGGATTTTTGGAATGTTTTATGTTTACAACTAAAGTGGTAGCAAAATTTATGCTTTCTTTTGCAATTTTTAATTTTTTTAAAAAAATTAGCATTTTTATTTAAATTATTTTGGCACCACTACACTAATACAGTTGTCATTTCAAGACTCTTCTCTTTTTAGCGATTGTTTAAATAAACAGTCGCCAAAACTTTCACATGAATATAAATGCATGATATGGGCAAGAAAGTGTGTTTAAGCTCTAATCTTATTTGAAAAAGAACTTTTTTTCATACAGTTGTAGTTATATTGAATTACCGAATTGGTAAAAATGATCTTCAAAAAGAATGATGGTTGGCAGGTCTGTTGCATCGGTTTTAAACTCACAATAATACAAACAATGAATAAAAGATTGGAACTCGCGCTTCTTTATTTTTGTCTCAAATTGTGAAATTTTTTATGCTGAAAGTAACTTGCAGTAAATGTGATTTCACTTAAGAAAAAAAAAACGTATTTCAAACATAATAAACAGCAAAAAAGAAACAACCTTATGAAACATATACGAATATCTCCAATTGAAATGCCTTATTGTTCCATGCAATAAATCATGTTTCAAAATAGAAAATAAAGTAAGTAAGAATGACGACAGTTCACATAGAATTACGATACGTAAATGCATTGTATTTTGGTCATAAATAGTTTGAATGAACATATTCTGTCTTTAAAACTAATTTGTATTTTATATTTAACCATTTACTATCCAAAATACGATGAAGGATAAAACAGAAATATTTAAGTTAAGGAACTCTTCATTTACCAAATAAATTCTTTGTACTGATGTAAACATGATGCTAGAAATAGATGATATATTTTCTTATAATCTCACTGGTTATTTAATTATTTTAGATTGCACCACATTAAGTTAATGTAACTCACGAATTCTCTATCTAAATCTGAATTTATTTAATTTGTTAATTTTGGACAAGAGTTAAATGTTTAATTGTTATAATTTTATTGCCATTTTTTTTACTCCTAGAGTTAGGATAATGATGTTAGGTACCATTTTAAAAATAAGAAGAGTAAAATATAAAGAATTTTTTTTATTTTCAATAAACATAATGAAAGTTCTTAGAAAAGATAACAAATAGCAAAAACATTAAAACATTTAGCGTTACATAAAAGCAATGACAACGCAGAAATATACAAATAAAAGCGCTTATTATTATTTTTATTTTTTTTATTTATTTGTTAATTCTTTTTCGCTGCAAAAAACCCTCAAAATTTATTTTTTTACCTCTCATTATAATGGAATAACTTTACGTAGTAACCACCTTGATAGAACTCTACGTAGTAACCACCTTGATAGAACTTTACGTAGTAACCACCTTGATAGAACTTTACGTAGTAACCACCTTGACAGAACTTTATGTAGTAACCACCTTGATAGAATACGTAGTAACCACCTTGATAGTCTTAAGTGACGTGGTAGGAACACTCACCAAATTTTTGTTGGTTGTGATTGTAAACTTTTTTGGGTCGTAATTAATATAATAATAAAATTAAATAAAATTAATAAAATTATTTTTAAATAAAATTAATCTTTTAATAAAATTATTTTTAATTGTGGATATTTTATGTAATTTTACTGATTTTTCAACACAATTTTAATTTATTAGACACCTTTAGAAAACTTTTCAAATGTCGTGTTTTGTGATTTTCTACAATTGGGTACTTGCAACTCGAGCGGTGAAGTGATTATGCCTAACCATGTTAAATCGCATTTTCACAAAGAGCCATAAAAAGCCAAGATGGAAATTAAAAGATTATTTTTTTATATAAATTTATATAAAATTGCATTGCTATATACCGTCGCTTTCTTACAATCAAAATAAAATAGCTGAATTTGTCTTTAAGGAAATATGTTTCCTAAAAATTATTATCAACTCTTATAAAAGTTTTTTTAGCTTTAATTTCATCGTACTCTTTTATTGATTATTACGTTCACATTTGTCTTTGTATACCTATTTCATAAAGTCGTAGTTATGCGAAAAGAAGGTGGATTATTTAGGATTTCATAGCCGAAAAAAAATTAAGAACCTCTGGTCCAGATGCAATCTAGATCTAATAGTATATAAAGTAAATCTAAAGTGAATTCATTAGAAACCTGGTGACTTCTCACCGATAAAATGTTTCTTGATAGACCATTTCGGGTTTGATATATGAATCAAGCCCTTATTGTTTATACAGAAGAACAAAACGGTAAAATGCGCAGTACATACATTGTTATGAAATGAAAAGTCAAGTTCTTAGCTTGTCTTTTGCAAGAACCACCGGAGAGGGACTTATCCAACCACCGAAAACCTCTTCTAATTCGATTGCCGTTGCTATCGTAAGGTGATCTTTATAATAGCCACTTATGGCCTGAATACCAAACGGTAATCCATGGCTCAATCCTGCTGGTATCTGAGTGGACGCAAACCCTAAAATACTGAATATACACGTGTACGCTATGTTTGGATACTTTGGGATGGTCATCAGGTAATGGGGAGGAGTCTCGGGATGGGTCGGTATCAAGAAAATGGCATCTTCCTTAAAGATTTCATGAAACTTCCTCTCCATACTTTGGTATTGCTGGAGACAGAAATGATAGAACTTGTCTTTACTTCTCCTGTCAATCATTGCCAAGTAAATTGATGGCAATGTGTGGTTTGACATACGAAATAGACTTTTGAGCAGTTCTAACCACAAATTGATTTTACCACCTTTGCCAGCTAGAATGTCTTTGACGGCACTCATTCCTCTTTCTAGCAATTTGCACTCCCACATGGGAAATGCATACTCTAGTTCATCCATTTCTAAGCGTGTTGGTGTGACGCCGTACGTTGTTTCAAAGTGTTTCACAGCCTGGAATTTAAAAACAAATTTGACAGTTAAAGTGAGCAAAAAATATTAAATTATATTTAAAATGAGAGAAAAAACAAAATAAGGTTAAACAAAATAAAAACAAAATTGGTTAATAAAACTGTAAATATAAACAAATCTTGAACACAAAAATTTGAAACTAGCCTCGCAAATTAGTTCGTTATATGAAATTACAATGATTCATTAATCGTTTCATGAATATAGGGATTTTTTGATAAACTTTTCCAACACAGCCCCGACTACTATATCGAAACGTAACTTTTAGCAGAAAGGTTTGGAGTACCTTCAAGAAAAGGTAGTTTATAACCAAAAGTAATAAAACCAGACAAAATATGTTACGAAATATGTTAAAACAAACAAAACGTGAGACAAAATGTGTTAAAACTGTTGACCAATAACCCCTTTAGATTTTATATCTGATTCTTACCAAGCATGGTTTGGAAACTGTCTTAAAATGGTAATTTAATTTTGAAAAATTACCTACTTTGAAGTACTTATAACTGCTAAAGGTATTTTCATTTAGTTTATCGGTGGTGCGAAAAACTTCAAAACCGATTTTATAAAAATAACTAGAAGTTAATTATCTGAAATTTTAATCAGTCTTGAGAAAAGTCCGTTACCATTCGTTAATTTTTCCAGGTTATGGGTACCATGTGTTTGTTGAAGTATCCTAAAGCGTACCTTAGATCTGAAAAGTATAATGAGTAATAATAATTAAAAGATATAGTCTGGCCGCTAAAAGATGAGTACTCAATCTAATTGAAAGCTACCTTATAAGAACTCGTCTTTCTCCATTTTATTTTATTTACCGTGTTCGCATCTACCAGCCATCGCTGAGTTTCGAACCCGGGTTATCCATTTGGGAGGCAAGAGCTCTATCTCCTGTGCCACCACGGCTCTAATTCTTCATAATTTTTTATTTTACATTTTATAACCGTCGTTGAATAGTTGATCCAGGTTTGGGGTTTACGACTACTAACGTTCAACTCCGCAGCCGTGTAATTTAAAACCCAATCCAGAAGCCAAGGGAACTCCTGGATCAAGTATTGGGATCAAGTATCTCACGTCTTGTAATTTCTTGATTCGGTTGAAAAATATTTTTGGGATTTTATTGCATCATCTCCATCGGAAAATTCGGTCTAAGAGTGTACAACGCTCCCCTTTGAAGTGATGGAAAAAAATCCCAAGAAAAAAAAAAGGATGGAATACTTGGATCCTTAAATCGTTCTTGCTTGACGATGAGTTGAAAATACAATATTTGATAGTGACAAGCGAGCTGTCCTTATCGGAGAGGAAGTAGAAGACATATGTGCTTAAACAAAGTGGATAATTTCTATCATTAGCTACCACATTATGCATATCAAAAAACAGAAATGGATTCATGTGATGTCTCCATACTGAAATATATACCATTCTCGCTGCAAATCTAGTCTTCAAGCAGTGCATATGCTACCGTGAAGGACCGAAATCAAGAGAATGTCGACTTTCGCCAGTAAGAATCACACAATCGCTTTGGTGAATGCCCAAAATATTGTCATATCCGATTTTAAATTAAATTATTCGTTGATATTATTATATTTGTACGATATTTTAACATCTGCTGAGGATAGTTTAGGAGGACATCAGTTTTCGGAGTACCGATTAAATGCATACTGGGCAGTGGCACTTGATCTTACAAAAACAATGATGTAGGACAAACCAGGTAAATATATACCAGTGGCACTTAACTAGACCTAGTTTATATTTCGGACATATACCAAAGTGACTATGTGATTGTCAACATTCACTGGTGGAAGTCACCAACCACCAATTTCTGCATTCAGAGTAACATATATATCACGATATGTAATATTTCGCCACGGTAGAATAGTTCACATATACCCTTTGCAGTCCGAGGTCGCCTCTGAGTCACCCTCAACAGCCATCACTCTAAAATTAATCTTTTTATGCCTTAATAATTAACAACCATAGTATTTAAAGAATTTAAAAAAAAGTATATTAAGATAATGTATTATGTATTTTAAAGTTTTAAGTGCTTCGATTTGTTCAAACAGCATTTTAGAGCACTGGGAGTGCAAAAAGTAAATACTGTAGCTGTAGTCAGTCAAACGTATTTATCAGTATGATCCAGGATGATGCTCTGTGAGAAATGTTTTAAATCATTCGATTTTCGTGATAATTCATGCAGAGTTAGAAAACAGAAATCAAGAATTCAGAATTATTAAATATTAATGAATTTTATAAGCTATTGAAGATTAATTATGTATCATTTAAACATATTTATTAACGTAAAATTAACATAAAATAAAACTATTCCTTCAACATAAGTAAGAAATTAAATTGTGTGTATTATGTATCTTTTAAACATTTTTATTAAAACAAAAAATATACTATAAAATGTGAGTATATTTTTAGATAGTTAAATACAAAATTAAAATATATGCGAAAAATGTAACTTTTTTTCAAATAAATAAATAAGTAAATAAAATAAAAATGACGAACTTCTTTTCAATGTCCGCTAGAAACAAATTGTTAAAAATAATATTATAAATAAAATAAATTACAGAGAAACATTTTACCAACCTGATGAATTTTATTTTTAGCATCTGGTGTTGAGCAATTAAGTTTTCCAGGAATTTCTTCCATGTAATAAATTTTTACATTCCGAAAATTAACCTTTAAAAATAAAGACTATTACAAAAATATGAAACAAATATTATTTTTATAAAAATAATTTACTTGTCGATTACTTCCGAAATACTTGTGCACAATTTAGTTTCAATAAAAGAGTAAATTATTATCTGAGCTAATAATAATTTTAGATTAGCTGATAAAGCGGGTGCATCCATGACACATCTTTTCCTAACCTCGCTAAGACTTACAGACTCCTTAATTAATTCTTATTACCTCGAAATCCAAATTATTTTAGTTCAGTTACAATGACTGACCTTGACAATTATTCGTCTGAAATTGATAATAATTTTTTATTAAGTAATCGTTTACGATCTCTGAATGACAGATTCTAATTAGATTATTGTCATAAATTTTATGTTAATGGCGATAATCTGAGAACAATTTTTATGTAACAAAAGAATATGTCAGGAAATAATAAGCATGTTTTGGCTAATTATTTAACTCCAAAGGAAAGTTAAATGTGGATCTGAATATGCAAATAAACAGTGAGTATGTTTTATTTAAATAATAAAATCAAAGATGCATCTACACTTTAACGCTTTTCTTTGTAGCTAGGCCCTTTTTTGTATCAATATCATTTTTAGTTCATTCAACATTTGGAACGATAACAAAAACACTACTATCTATGCTTATTGCAAAAGGCATTAGTATCTTAAATTATGCTGATTGTTCGTAATCATAGCCCTTAATATTAATTTTTATAAACCACGAGAAAAAGAAAGTAAATGATTAGTGAAGAAACAACGCAGTTTAGAAAATGTTTATCTCAAATTTATGTTTAAAGAAAAATTTTATCTGAACCTGACGAACCATTAACGAGAAAGGCGATATTCAAAAAGTCAAAACCCATTTAGTTGTCAGAAGAAACTAAAAAGGGGAAAAGACTTTATTGAAAACAACTTCAAAATTTGATGTTCAATTACGTCCTTCTCAGTAGTAATTCGACAGAATTCGATAACGTTTTCGTTTTTAACCACNAAACAAGGTGCTAGAAATAGGTGATATATTTTCTTATGAGCCCGATGGTCATTTAATTGTATAAAATGTACTACATTAAGTTAATGTAACTCATGAATTCTCCATCTAAATATGAATTCATTTAATTTGTTAATTTTAATGCTTTGGATAAGAATTGTTTGCTTTGCTAAACGTCTCATTGTTATAATTTTATTGCCATTTTTTTACTCCTAGAGTTAACACGATGATATTTGGTAACATTTTAAAAATAAGAAGAGTGAAATATAAAGATTTTTTTATATTCAATAAACATAAAGCAAGTTGTTAGAAAAGATAACGAATAACACAAACATTAAAACATTAAGCGTTACATTAAAGCAATGACAATGCAGAAGTATACAAATAAAAGAGCTTATTTTTTTCATTTTTTTAATTTTTTTGCTAATTTTTTTTTGCTGAAAAAAATCCTCAAAATTTATTTTTTTACCTCTCATTATAATGGAAGAACTTTATGTAGAAACCACCTACATAGTCTTAAGTGACGTTGTAGGAACACTTACCAAATTTTTGTTGGCTGTAATTGTAAAACTTTTTGGGTGTTACCTTTTAATAAAATTATTTTTAATTGTGGATATTTCATGTAATTCTACTGATGTTTCTACACAATTTTAATTTACTAGACACCTTTTAAAATGTCTTGTTTTGTGATTTTCTATAATTGGGTACTTGCAACTCAAGAGGTGAAGTGATTATGCCTAACCATGTGAAATCGCTTTTTCACGAAGAACCATAAAAAGTCAAGATGGCAATTAAAGAGTATTTTCTTACATAAATTGATAGAAAATTGCATTACTATTTCCCGTCGCGTTCTTACAATCAAAATAAAATAGCTAAATTCGCCTATAAAGAAGTATGTTTCCTAAAAATTTATATCAACTCTTATAACAGTTTTTTTTAGCTTTAATTTCACCGTACTCTTTTATTGGTTATTACGTTCCCATTTGTCTTTACTTATTTTATTAAGTCGGAGTTCTGTGAAAAGATTGTGGATTATTTAGGATTTCATAGCCGAAATTAACTAAGGACCTCTGGTCTAGATGTAGTCTAGATCTAATAGTATATTAGGTAAATCTAAGTGAATTCATTAGAAACATGGTGTCTTCTCACAGATAAAAATGTTTCCTGATAGACCATTTCGGGTTTTGATATATGAATCAAGCCCCCCTATTGTTTATATAGACGAACAAAACGCTCAAATGCGCAGTACATATAGTGTTATGAAATGAAAAGTCAAGTTCTTAGCTTCTTTTTTGCAAGAATTACCGGAGATGGACTTATCCAACCACCAAAAACCTCTTCTAATTCGATTGCCGTTGCTATCGTAAGGTGATCTTTATAATATCCACTTATGGCCTGAATACCAAATGGTAATCCATGGCTCAATCCTGCTGGTATCTGAGTGGACGCAAACCCTAAAATACTGAATATACACGTGTACGCTACGTTTGGATACTTTGGGATGGTCATCAGGTAATGGGGAGAAGTCTCGGGATGAGTCGGTATCAAGAAAATGGCATCTTCCTTAAAGATTTCAAGAAACTTCTTCTCCATACTTCGGTATTGCTGGAGACAAAAATGATATAATTTGTCTTTACTTCTTCTTTCTATCATTGCCAAAAAAATTGATGGCAATGTGTGGTTTGACATACGAAATAGACTTTTTAGCAGTTCTAACCACAGATTGATTTTACCGTCTTTACCGGCTAGAATGTCTTTGACGGAACCTATTCCTCTTTCTAGCAATTTGCACTCCCACATGGGAAATGCATACTCTAGTTCATCCATTTCTAAGCGTGTTGGCGTCACGCCGTGCGTTGTTTCGAAGTGTTTCACAGCCTGGAATTTAAAAAAATTTTTGACAGTTAAAGTGAGCAAAAAATATTAAATTATGTTTAAAATGAGAGAAAAAACAAAATAAGTTCTTAGTACTGTAAATATAAACAAATCCTGAACAAAAATTTTTGAAACCAGCCTCGCAAATTAGTTCGTTTTATGAAGTTACAATGATTCATTAATCGTTTCTTGAATATCGGAATTTTTTGATAAACTTTTCCTACACAGCACCGATTACTATATTGAAAACGCAACATTTAGCAGAAAGGTTTCAAGTACCTTCAAGAAAAAGTACCTTATAACCAAAAGTAATAAAAGCGGAGATGAAGCGTGAGACAAAATACGCTAAAAGTGCTGACCAATAACCTCTCTAGATTTGATATCTGATTCTTACCAAGCATGGTCTTGAAACTGCTTTAAAATGGTAATTTAAGTTTAAAAAATTACATACTTTGAAGCATTTATAACTGCTAAAGGTATTTTCATTCAGTTTATCGGTGGTGCGAAAAACTTCAAAACTGAATATATAAAAATAATTGGAAGTTAATTTTCTGAAATTTTAATCAGTCTTGAGAAAAGTCCGTTACCATTCGTTAATTTTTCCAGGTTATGGGTACCATGTGTTTGTTGAAGTATCCTAAAGCGTACCTTGGATCTGAAAAGTATAATGAGTAATAATAATTAAAAGATATNGAAATATGTTTCCTAAAAATTATTATCAACTCTTATAAAAGTTTTTTTAGCTTTAATTTCATCGTACTATTTTATTGATTATTACGTTCACATTTTTCTTTGTATACCTATTTTATAAAGTCGTAGTTATGCGAAAAGAAGGTGGACTATTTAGGATTTCATAGCCGAAAAAAATTAAGAACCTCTGGTCCAGATGCAATCTAGATCTAATAGTATATAAAGTAAATCTAAAGCGAATTCATTAGAAACCTGGTGACTTCTCACCGATAAAATGTTTCTTGATAGACCATTTCGGGTTTGATATATGAATCAAGCCCCTATTGTTTATACAGAAGAACAAAACGGTCAAATGTGCGGTACATACATTGTTATGAAATGAAAAGTCAAGTTCTTAGCTTGTCTTTTGCAAGAACCACCGGAGAGGGACTTATCCAACCACCGAAAACCTCTTCTAATTCGATTGCCGTCGCTATCGTAAGGTGATCTTTATAATATCCACTTATGGCCTGAATACCAAACGGTAATCCGTGGCTCAATCCTGCTGGTATCTGAGTGGACGCAAACCCTAAAATACTGAATATACACGTGTACGCTATGTTTGGATACTTTGGGATGGTCATCAGGTAATGGGGAGGAGTCTCGGGATGAGTCGGTATCAAGAAAATGGCATCTTCCTTAAAGATTTCAAGAAACTTCTTCTCCATACTTCGGTATTGCTGGAGACAAAAATGATATAATTTGTCTTTACTTCTTCTTTCAATCATTGCCAAGAAAATTGATGGCAATGTGTGGTTTGACATACGAAATAGACTTTTTAGCAGTTCTAACCACAGATTGATTTTACCGTCTTTACCGGCTAGAATGTCTTTGACGGAACTGATTCCTCTTTTTAGCAATTTGCACTCCCACATGGGAAATGCATACTCTAGTTCATCCATTTCTAAGCGTGTTGGCGTCACGCCGTACGTTGTTTCGAAGTGTTTCACAGCCTGGAATTTTAAAAAATTTTTGACAGTTAAAGTAAGCAAAAAATATTAAATTATGTTTAAAATGAGAGAAAAAACAAAATAAGTTCTTAGTACTGTAAATATAAACAAATCTTGAACAAAAATTTTTGAAACCAGCCTCGCAAATTAGTTCGTTATATGAAGTTACAATGATTCATTAATCGTTTCATGAATATCGGAATTTTTTGATAAACTTTTCCAACACAGCACCGATTACTATATTGAAAACGCAACATTTAGCAGAAAGGTTTGAAGTACCTTCAAGAAAAAGTACCTTATAACCAAAAGTAATAAAAGCAGAGATGAAGCGTGAGACAAAATACGCTAAAAGTGTTGACCAATAACCTCTCTAGATTTGATATCTGATTCTTACCAAGCATGGTCTTGAAACTGCTTTAAAATGGTAATTTAAGTTTAAAAAATTACATACTTTGAAGCATTTATAACTGCTAAAGGTATTTTCATTCAGTTTATCGGTGGTGCGAAAAACTTCAAAACTGAATATATAAAAATAATTGGAAGTTAATTTTCTGAAATTTTAATAAGTCTTGAGAAAAGTCCGTTACCATTCGTTAATTTTTCCAGGTTATGGGTACCATGTGTTTGTTGAAGTATCCTAAAGCGTTCCTTGGATCTGAAAAGTATAATGAGTAATAATAATTAAAAGATATAGTCTGGCCGCTAAAAGATGAGTACTCAATCTAATTGAAAGCTACCTTATAAGAGCTCGTCTTTCTCCATTTTATTTTATTTGCCGTGTTCGCATCTACCAACCATCGCTGAGTTTCGAACTCAGGTTATCTTTTTGGGCGAGCTCTTTATCCCCTGAGTCACCACGGCTCTAATTCTTCACACTTTTTCATTTTGCATTTTATAACCGTCGTTGAACAGTCGACACAGTTTTGGGTTTACGACTACTAAAGTTCAACTCCGTAGCCTTGTAATTTAAAACCCAATCCAGAAGACAAGGGAGCTCCTGGATCAAGTATTGGAATCAAGTATCTCACGCCTTGTAGTTTCTTGAATCAGTTGAAAAATATTTTCAGGATGTTATTGCATTATCTCCATTGGAATATTAGGCCTAGGAGTGTACAAGGTTCCCCTTTGAAGCGTTGGAAAAAAATCCTCCCCCCCCCAAAAAAAAAGGTAGAATACTTGGCTCCTTAAATCATTCTTGCTTGACGATGAGTCGAAAATACAATATTTGATAGTGACAAGTGATTTATCCTTATCGGAAAAGAAGTGGAAGACATATGTGCATAAACAAAGTGGATAATTTCTATCATTAGCTACCACATTATGTATGTTAAAAAACAGAAATGGAATTATGTGATGTCTCCATACTAAAATATATACCATTCTCGCTGCAAATCTGAACCAAAATACCACTGAATGACCAAAATATTGTAGCTGTGGTCAGTCAAACGTATTTTTCAGTATGGTCCAGGGTGATGTTCTGTGAGAAATGTTTTAAATCATTCCATTTTCGCTATAATTGATGCAGAGTTAGAAAACAGAGATCAAGAATACAGAATTATTAAACATTAGAGAAGCTCATAAACTGTTAAAGATTAATTATGCGTCATTTAAACATATTTATGGACATAAAATTAGCATAAAATAAAACTATTCCTTCAACATAAGTAAGAAATTAAATGGTGTGTATTATGTATATTTTGAACATTTTTATTAAAACAAAAAATATACTATAAAATGTGAGTATTTTTTTAAGAAGTTGAATACAAAATTGAAATAATATGCAAAAAATGTAAACTTTTTTTCAAATAAATAAATAAATAAATAAAATAAAAATGATGAATTTCTTTTCAATTGCCGCTAGAAACAAACTATTAAAAATAATATTATAAATAACATAAATTTCAGAGAAACATCTTACCAACCTGGTGAATTTTATTTTTAGCATCTGGTGTTGAGCAATTAAGTTTCCCAGGAATTTCTTCCATGTAATAAATTTTTACATTCCGAAAATTCACCTTTAAAAATAAAGACTATTACACAAATATGAAACATATTATTATTTTTATAAAAATAATTCACTTGCCAATTACTTCAGACACTTTGCACAATTTATTTTCAATACTCTTTTAGTTTAGTTATACTGCCTGACCTTGACAATTATTCGTCAGAAATTGATAATAATTTTTTATTAAGTAATCGTTACGATCTCTGTATGACAGAGTCTGATTAGATTATTGTCATAAATGTTATGTTAATGGCGATAATCTGAGAACAGTTTTTATGTAACAAAAGAATAAGTTAGGAAATAATATGCATGTTTTGGCTCATTATTTAACTCTAAAGGAAAGTTAAATGTGGATCTGGATATGCAAATAAACTGTGAGTATTTAAGTATTAAAATTAAACACGTTTCTACACTTTAAGGTTTTTCTTTGTTAGCTAGGCCCTTATTTTGTATCAATATAATTTTAAGTTCATTCAACATTTGGAACAATAACATGAACTCTACCGTCTATGCTTATTGCAAAAGGCTTTAGTATCTTAAATTATGCTGATTTTTGGTAATCATAACCCTTAATATAAATTTTTATGAACCACGAGAAAAAGAAGTAAATGATCAGTGAAGAAACATCGCAGTTTAGAAAATGTTAATCTCAAACTTATGTTTAAAGAAATTTTTTATCTGAACCTGACGAACCATTAACGAGAAAGGCGAGATTCAAAACTTCAAAGCCCATTTATTTGCCAGAAGAAACTAAAAAAGGAGAAAAGACTGAAACATTGAAAACAACTTCAAACTTAGATGTTTAATTTCGTCCTTCTCAGTAGTAATTCGACAGAATTCGAAAACGTTTTTTTTTTCACCACTTATATTATTTCGTGACCCCTATTTTGCATACTTTTTGGATGTCAATTTTCGCCATATTACAGAAAACCTTGTCCACTAATAATTTGATATCTAAAATTTTTCTATAATTCTGAAAAATACTTACTCTTTTGTCCAGTGGCACTTTATTGCTGTTGTCAGATAAAATTCGCACCAATAAGGACAAATCTTTGGCGTATCGACACATTGGTCCTGTGCTAATGAAATCATCCAATAAGGCGTCTTCTTCTGCATCTTCCGGGGAGCAGTTTGATATATAATCTATTCAACCAAATCAATTCATTGAAATGTTACGTTGCAATCAAACAACTGAGAAAGCTGACAAAACATCTAAACTTCATGCCAACTTAACTTCGCATTGTTTTATTCTATTTTGCAATCATCGATAAACTGCGGAAGCAAATTTTTTTGAATTTACGACTATTAATGTTCAATTCCATAGCCTCGTAATTTTGAATTCAATCCAGAAGACAAGGGAACTCTTGGATCAAGTATTGGGAGAAATTTATCGTTGTGGAGGACTCTTTGATGGAACTAACCCGCATTTGCGTTACATAGAGTAAAAAGCCACTGAAACCCCCATGGTTAGCCAGATGGCAAGGGGACTCTAATACATGATCTGCCTACCACTGATGATATTTTACGTCAGCATTGTGGTCCGTGTGAATTGTATCGACCAGCCATCGCTGGGATTTGAACCAGGATCACATCATTGAGAGTGTCGAGCGCTTTATCCCCTGAGCCTCGACGGCTCAACTTTTTCGAATTGTTAAATGGAGCATGTATTGTGTTCTTTGAATATAATAATTTAATATTTTGAAACTTGGATAAAGAGTCGGTTTGTTCCTCGGAGCTTTTAACCCACTCCAAAATTCTTCAAATTTTAAGAAGTTTATCGTTTAACGTTAAACGTTTGTTAATCGCTTAACTGGTGATTTTTCGATTGATTCAATTAATAATTTTTACGTGACATCATATATCTTTTTGTTTATAATAATTCTTTTATCAATATTTCAAATATTTCTTTAAAGAAATTAAACTGCAATGAAAACAGTTAAAATCTTAAGGAAAAGTAAAATACAATTGACGATTTTTACAAGCTTGGGGAACACTTCCACTTAAAATGGTTTGACAATAAATGTGAGAAAACATGAAATTAAGATAATTTAGACGTGTTCAAATGTAAGTACATCTAAGTACATGTTCAAATACGCATGAGCAGCTCGTCTACAACAGGATAGCGTCTCTAGAGGCGTGCATTGACAATTTATGGAATTATCAATTTTTATGATGTGCTCTCTTCCTTCCTTCCAAGTTTGTATGTAGAGTTCATAAACACCCAATATATTAAGAGTTATAGTGAACTATGTCCCTGAAACTAACATGAGAGAACTAAATTCATAAATCTAATAGGCTTAAATCGCTAAAGGATTCTTTTCATGTTAATAGCAACATTTATCTCAAAACTATTGTTTATAGACTTGATTCATTTTAGCTCTGATTACGTTAAATAGAAACTGATCATTTCAAGGGGCAATTGTTATAGCAAAATCGATCTGCATTTGCCGACTTTACCAAATTATGATGACGCGAACTGAAGTATAAATATTTGAAAGACTCTTTTAAGGAGATAAACTTTTTATAATAATTGGGTACTTGGAACTCTAGAAAATTGAAGTGATTGATCTGATTTAATATGATTTGAATCACCTGATGCCCGATCAGGTGATTTAAATCAGATTTAATTGGATGACGGTAAGCGACGTCATGTACGTTTGTCGAACCTGATTAGCTTCTGAATTTACAAATGTCACCATTTAATAAATATGACGTACATTGTTGGTATCCAATTATATTAAACTATTTTTTAAGTTGAAACTTAAGTTCATAATAATAAGATACTCACTTCGGGAAGGCTTATGCCCGAAAATTCCACAAAATGATGATGGCATTCGTATGCTACCAGCCAAGTCGCTTCCAATACCAATAACAGCTGCAGCAGATGTTATTATAGCTGCTTCCCCACCTGAAAAATTATGACAAATTTGGTATGTTTAGTAAATAACAAGCCAATCGCTGTTTCATACAATTTACTTAATCTAACCGAAAAGTGTAGTCTTAATTGGCCATTTCCATTGTTGCCATTTTCCACGCTTTCAGTTTAAGGTACTTTGTATTGGTAGCGATGTAACAGTTGAATTTGCAATTTGAAGCAGAAATTGTCTTACCTTCGCGAAAAATTAATATTTCTTAAAATTAGATAAGGATTTGGATTCATTTACTTATAATATTTATGAGTAGTGGTAGTCAAAATAATACGATTTTGTTAAATAAAATATAAATATTAAAGGTATATATTTTATTACCAGTTTAAGTACAAAAAGAAAATCTCAAAATAATCTGAAGAAAATCAATCAGAAGATTCGGCAGCTATGGTTCAGACACTTTCCCCATTGTGTTAATAGTTGCACAATGTCATGCTCGCAAAAACCATTGACTATAGTTTGGATAAGCTGCGCATCTTGATCACTTCGTTTGTTTGAAACCCGTAGTCCTTTTTTGAGCTGATGGAAAATGTAAGACACATCAAAATAGATGTGGGATTAAGTTCATTATTTGAGTTTCTGCCGAAGTTCATTGGTTATATTTGCTGTTTGCAATCTAGCATCATCATGCAAAAGAATGTGTTCANTCTCTTCGTTTGTTTGAAACACGTAGTCCTTTTTTGAGCTGATGGAAAATGTAAGACACATCAAAATAGATGTGGGATTAAGTTCATTATTTGAGTTTCTGCCGAAGTTCATTGGTTATATTTGCTGTTTGGAATCTAGCATCATCATGCAAAAGAATGTGTTCAACTAGACGTTAATGATGATATTTCGATTTCGTTGCCTTTATGAGCTTTGTTAAATCTTTCAAATAATACTTAAGTTTTATAGCTACAAGAAACTAAAATAGATGAACCTTTTGAGAATCTTATCATCATTGTGCGTTCTTTTTAGAAACGTAACAATTATATATTACTCAAACTTCCTCATTTTGTTTTTTTATGCTATTATATGGATCCAGTGCAATAAGGTTTACATTAAAATTTATAGAATTATTACTACATGAACTTTGGTTCTTGTGTTATCATATGGATTTTGTAAAACGAATTTTGCATGAAAAAAATATAGATTACTGCTTGAACTTCCTCCAACTGTTCTTGTGTTATCATATTAATTTTGTTAAACGACTTTTGCATACAAAATACGGATTACTACGCTGAATTTCCTCTAACTGTTCCCTTATTATCATGTGGATTTAGTAAAACGAGTTTTGACAAAACAGTTATGGATTACTCCCTAAACTTCCTCCAACTGCTCTTGTGTTATCATACGGATTTAGTAAATCGAGTTTTGCGTGAAAAAAATATGGATTACTACTTGAACTTCCTCCAACTGCTCTTGTGTTATCATGCTAATTTTGTAAAACGACTTTTGCATAAAAAATATGGATTACTACCCTGAATTTTCTCTAACTGTTCTTTTATTATCATACGGATTCAGTAGAACGAGTTTTACCAAAACAGTTATGGATTACACCTTGAACTTTCTCCAACTGCTCTTGTGTTATCATACGGATTTTGTAAAACGAGTTTTGCATAAAAAAATTATGGATTACTACCTGAACTTCCCCCTACTGTTCTTGTGTTATCATATGGATTTTTAGACATGCCAAAGACAAGGTTTGCACTCTCCCACCACAATAACGTTTCTGGAACGTTTGTAACAGTCACAGGTATTGCTCCAGCTTTTCTATATAGTGCTGTAGTATCGGCATCTTGTGCAGCAACTGCATTTTTCGATTTATAATAGCCACAAGTTTGGGCCATTCCTAAAGATAAAAAAAAATCTCCACAATAAAACAAAATTTTAAAGATTTATTTTCAAAATCTGGTTTAGTTTACTTATTCTTATCATTTTCATTGCTTCTTATCATTTGCTACATACTTTAAAGTATCTTTATTAGTTAATACAGATTTTAGTGAAAATAATACATCAAAATATTTTGTTTTATAATGAAGTACCAATAAAAATATGTATTAATAACATAAAAAGTCAATAAAACTGTATTATCCAAAATGTAAAATTTAGGTCTACTTTTTTTTAACAGAAAATAATAAAATTAATCAATAATCATAATTAATGTAATAGCTATTAAATTAAAGCTTTAAATTATTTTTGAATCTCTTTATTGCAGTTTGTAAGGTTTTGGTTAAAAATTAATAAAGTTCTGGAAGTTTTCAGTATATGTTTATTGAAAATATACCAAATATGGTGTTGTGTGTTTCTGTGGTCACTAAACACAAATTATTAAAACTGATAAATTAAGAGTTTTATAGACAAATAGTTATTCTCTTAAGTTCTGATAAAAGTTGTACAAAAATACAGTTTATTTTAATAATTTCTGCTTTAGTTCTATACTACGGAAGAAAATATTGCACACAAGCTTCATATGTTGGAAGGTATGCTGCCACACAAAGAAAAATCAACGTTTTATGCACAAGTTTTATGCAAAAAAACTTTTATCCGAAAAAAAATTTTGTTTTATCAGATTTTTGAAATTTTATTTTAGATTTCATATCGTTTAATTTATGGAAAATTGTAGTCAATTGAAGCACTTACATTGTCTAACAAGCTTCATATGTTGGGGAAGGTATGCTGCCGCGCTAAGAAAAATCAACGTTTTATGCAAAGAAACTTTTATCCGAAAATAAATTTTGTTTTATCAGATTTTTGAAATTTTATTTTAGATTTCATATCGTTTGATTTATGGAAAATTGTAGTCAATTGAAGCAATTACATTACCTAACAAGCTTCATATGTTGGAAGGTATGCTGCCGCGCAATGAAAAATCAACGTTTTATGCAAAAGTTTTATGCAAAAAAACTTTTGTCCGAAAAAAAATTTTGTTTTATCAGATTTTTGAAATTTTATTTTAGATTTCATATCGTTTGATTTATGGAAAATTGCAGTCAATTAAAGCACTTACATTGTCTAACAAGCTTCATATGTTGGAAGGTATGCTGGCGCGCAAAGAAAAATCAACGTTTTATGCAAAACTTTTATGCAAAAAAACTTTTATCCGAAAATAAATTTTGTTTTATCAGATTTTTGAAATTTTATTTTAGATTTCACTTACAGTGTCTTTACATTTACACTGCAGTGTCCAGGAAGAAAATTCTCGGCAAAATGACAATGCATATATACATATATATACTGTATTTAGAAGATAAAAGATAATACATATGCTTAAGGTACCTTTTACTCCTATAGCTTCTTTGCACGTAAAAGGTACTCCGAGTAACGGTGTATCTCTCTCAATATCATCCAGAAGCTTTTCATTTTTATCCAAAAAGATATCGATATTTCTTGCATCTTTCAGTGCATATTCATATCTCTCGTCACAAGCTGCATTAATAAAAGGATGTACCTCCCGGGATCTCTCCACGTAAGCTTTCATTACATCCTCACATTTTACCTACATTGAAAAACTTTACTTATCATACTTTTTCAAGTTTGTGTACTAACTTACCGTCACGAGAAAAACTCTCTCAGGGATCCTTATCCAAGAAAAAGAAACAAAAAATTGGGAGCAAAAACATTTAATTTCGGAAGGAGTAAATAAGATCTTATTAATTAATTAATATGCTATACAGGCAAAATTATTATCTTATTAATTAATATCCATAAATACAAAATTGTTTCATGCCTGGAAAAATATTTTACTCCTGTCAGAAATATGATGGGAAATGAATTGATTCTACTATCAGTTTTTCCCCTCTTCCGAAGCAACACAATGCGTGTGTTTTCCTCTAGTCTGTAGGTCAATAACATGACGCTCATCCTGCTTGTGATTTATAAATCAGGAATTCGAAATTAAAGCTTTAATTTATTAATTTATCAAAAATTCTTTCCTCAAATATGAGAGAGAATCATTTTACACGTCGTTTCTCTGCTACTGAAAATCCTGCTATGTAATTAAAATTTATTGGACATACATATAGGAATTTGGATTGAATTGGCTTCATATGAGATGCTGCGGAGCTACTATCTACGCAGGGTTAGCGGTGAAAAAGGGCAACTGAAAATAAAAAAATGTGGCGATTAAAAAATTAAAAACATTTGAAAAGAATCTTTTTGGTCTAATTACGTATAATTTAAAATGGAAGTCATAGTGGTAGTTACTATTGAACATTTAAAAAGATTGTGAATAAATAAAAGTGAATTGAGTTTCTACCACTTTTTAAATTTTTAGTCATCCGTGGCACGCCTGTTCAGACCAACGGATGCTTCGTTTCTTTATCTGATATGTGTGGCCGTAGGCAACTGAGACAAATGGTGTGAAAGGCATTAATAGCAGCTTAATATCATGATATAGTAATAGTAACATTGAAAAATGATGGAACACTTTTATACTAACTTCAACATCAACAATTTTTCCTTCAGTAATAAATGTTTTGGAAGTTTTTACATGGCAAAATTGTAAGCCTTTCTTTTCCTGATTTCCTTTATTATAACAATACAATGAAGAAAAAATCATCCTACAAAATAATTGTTGGTATAAACTTGAGAAAGGTTACTGTATTCCATTGCACATTTTGTTTAATCTGATCTTTGCATGAGTAAAAATGACATTATTTTGAAAAGCTTCACGCATGATCTTTCAAATTTCGTCAACAGTTTTGCCATGTAAAATCTACGAAAATATTGGTTGATGAAAGAAAAATTGTTTACTTAGCGATAGTACGGAAGTGTTTCTATTATTTTGATCAACCCTTTTTTGTATTTTAAATTTAAGAATTATGGTGGATTTTCTCCCTTGGTCATCTCTCCTCTCTGGGAGTATCCATCATATTCGGCTGACCAATTCCAATAAAACAAAAAATGTACTGTATGTTTAGTGACTTTATTTAATGTTAAAATATTATAATAATGCATTTTTTTAGAAAAGTGTACCGAAAGGCAACAAAAATCAACATACGACACAAAATGTATAGTAACTTTCTAAAAACGCAAAGGAATTTTATAGTGAAAATGGAGCTTCAATGTTTATTTTTTTTCATTTTCTTTTGTGTCGTTTCTTTTTTTTTTATCCTTTCTTTTTTTTCGATTTTTCAGATATTAGTACAATAATAAAATCAGAGCCGCGATAGCTCAGAGGATAGAGCGTTCGCCTTCCAATGAGGCTAACCCAGTTCGAATCCCAGTGGATACGAATTCCGCAACCGGCTTGCACCGACCACAGTGCTGATGTGAAATATCCTCAGTGGTAGACGGATCATGGGTTACAGTCCCCTTGCCGTCAGGCTAACCGTGGGAGGTTCTCGTGGTCTTCCTCTTCATGTAACGCAAATGCGGGTTAGCTTAATCAAAAAGCCCTTCTCGAAGGCAAATTTCTCGCAATACTCGATCCAAGAGCTCCCTTGTCTTCTGGATTGGGTTCAAAATTACAAATCTACGGAGTTGAACATTAATAGTAGTAAACCCATAAAATTGGGTCGGCTGTTCAACGACGGTTATAAAATAAAATCAATTTGTTTTCTCATTTTAAATTCACATGAAGAACATGGTTTTAGAAATTTTTTTTTAAAAAAAATACTTGTTTATTTTCTGTTATAAAATAAGAACATTAAATTTTTCTTAGCTTCAATATTTGGCCAATACGTCTTTGATGCTGTATTTTTTTAAATCTTTTTTTCAAAAATTAATGCTAAATCACAACCGTGGAATTTGAACTTATATTTAAAATTAAATCAGTTAGATAATAAAATAAACAATGTATTTTTGTACAAAAGGACAAAATTAAAAAACAATCATTCTTACCTGGCGCTTTCGAATTTTTTCAGCAAGTTCGGAAGCTGTGTAAAGTAATAAAGGATTGCGTATGGGAGGTAGTGGCTTTGTAGGTCCCATGAAAATTCGGTACAAAATCGAAAGAATTTTGTCAGAGAATGGTCGAGTGAATGTTATAATGATTCTCAAAATGTCGCCAATCGAACGTGCCACCTAAAGAGAAAGAACAGGTAAAATTTGCAAAAAAATATACTTCAGTATAACAAGCAATCACTTCTTAGGGAGGAGTGTGCTAAGACCTGGTATCTCGAATATATTGGAATTAGTTCTCTTTTCTATGGGATAAACTCTGAATTACACCTTACTAGTGAAGAAGGACCTACCATATTAGCATGCTCTTGTCAGTTAATTTACGGAGCCTGAATGGATAAGTTTGTTTTATTTTGTGAACTAACTAATATTCTCTTGTTCTTAAGCTACCTTTATTTTTCCTTAGAGATATAAAAATTAGTTTTAGTCCAGCTTATAATACGTTTACTAAAGGTTCATACCCAAACAAATTATAGTAGCACTGTTCTGTTTCGTTTCGATAACCTCTGCTCTCGGGATAAGACTGGGTACTCAATTTATGTGTGTCTCGGCCCACGAAAGCTACAGTGCAGCAGAGGAAGAAAACAACTACACCTAAGGCTGAACAAAGATTTTACAGGCCCAGGGACAAAATTTAAGGATTCTTCAAAGTACAGAAAAACTTATTTTCTTATTTTGTAGAATTTTTAAAGAGTCTTTATACGAAATCATGGTTTTATATCAATAAAAGGAAATTCTAAGCAACTATTTTTGGAGAAAACTAATTTAAAAGCACTATATTTAATTAGAATTTTATGTTTTTATTTTTCCCACGGAGAAACTCTGCTCTCTTGATATGACTGGGTACTCCCTTCATGTGGGCCGAAGAAGGCTACAGTGCAGCGAATGAAGAAAACAACGACATCGAAGGCTGAACAAAGATTTTGGAGGCCCCGGGACAAAAATTTAAGGATTCTTCAAAGTACAAAAAGCCTTATTTTCATATTTGTGGTATTTTTAAAGAGACTTTATACAAAATCGTGGTTTTATGTCAATAAAAGGAAATTCTAAGTAATTTTTTTGAGGGAAAAAAAAAGAAACACATTTATAAGCACAATACTTAATTAGAACTTTATGTTTTTATTTTGACCACAGAGAACCAAGAAAATTATGTTTTGTAGATGTTTACAGGAAGTTAATTAAAAAAAAGGAAAGGAAGGTCTCAAGGGGAAAAAAATGATAAAATTAGAGAGTTGGGTGAGGGACAGACAGAAATGAAACTAGACATAAATTTTTTCTAGTTTCTGAATATTACACTTGAAAATGCGCGAAACTTTTAATGATTATAAAGGAGTAAAACATCACTCTTGAAAATATCTAATATATTTTCAGAAAATCACAAAAATCAATTTTGCCTTCGTAAACTTTAGAGGTCCCTAATAGAGGGCCCTAAAATTATACCATCCCTGATTAAACTGGCTCTGATTGGAAATGATCGTTTAGTTTCCGAAAACTATTAATGGAATATTATTTGTAAATTTTTGTAAAATATACTGTCATAGTTTTTTTTCCAGAGTTATTTAAAATATAACAAACAGATTTTTTTTTACGAAAAAAAAAATAGAAAAAAAAGATGACGTAACGGGAGAATTATGAACTAGATTGTTTGAAAGGACCACAATTCAGTAATATTAACAGTTTGAAGGTTGAAAAGATTCAGAGGTACTTCACTGTCTCTGTGTGTAATAGAACTCTCTCAATATTTATATTAGCTCTAATGTTATGTTTAGCTTCTATTTATTCTTTATGAAAGATTTCAATAGTATAAAATAAGAAAATATTTCTCTGGTCAATATTTAAATATAACATCAGTCTTAGCAACTCTTTAATACCAAATTCTTTGCAAAAAAACAACTCCTCTAAATTATGAATATAATATTAAATTAAGTCCCAATAATACTTGCGGAATTAAACAAAAAGCACCAAAAACGTTTTGATCTTGTGACAAAAGGCACTGAATGTTAAGTTTATTAAAATTAGTTTGAAATAATGCTTTAAAAGTGCAATGAAAGGCTACAAAAATCAACATACGGCACAAAATATTTAAATATTCTTGATAATAGTGATGAGGATAATAAAACAATTTTCTTACAAACTTCTCGAAAGCCATTTCTAATTATTCTTTAAGAAATAATTTTATGATTTTAACAAATATTTCAATAACTAAATAATACAGACAAATAGAGTTCACAAATATTTAACTAAATGATTTCAAATACTAAATGATATTACCAACATGATCCATTTTACACAAATGCTGTTTGTTATCGCTCTTTGAAAGCTAAAATACTTGAGATAAATATCGTCGGCGATTGTTAATTTTGCAATTTAATTTTTAATTAATCAATTTTTAAATAAATTAATTTTTTTGTTTATCAGATATCCATATCGAGGCCAAGTTGTGAAATCTGTCTAGGTTCCTAGGTGGAATAAAAATGCAAATAATTTACTAAGAGATTTATTTAGTTAAAAAAAAAAAGATTAGAGTNGAATTAAAAATTAGTTTAAAATTTTATGTTAAAAGTATATATAATAACAGTAATTTTAAAAAAGTGTAAAAAGGACAACAATAAAATGAACAAACAAAATATTTAAATAAATATTGTTGATAATAGTGATAAAGATAGCCAAACGATCTACTTACAATTCTCTCGAAAGCCATTTCTATTTGTTCCTTAGGAATAAAAAAAAATTGTTTGGTGTTATTTTAACTAATATTTGAATAACTGAACAATGCAGAAAAACACAGTTAAGAAATAATTAACCGAATGATTTTAAATACTGCTAAATGATATTGAGAACATGATTTATATTACACAAATGCTGTTTGTTACCGTTCTATGAAAGCTAAAATACTTGACACAAAAATCGTCTGCAATTGTTTATTTTATGAGTACTTTATCAGATGCTCTTCTTCGAGGCTAAGTAGTTAAATCTGTCTATATTCCAGGATGTAAAAAAAAAGTTAACTTACATAAGAGATTTACTTCTTGAAAAAGGAAAAAAAGCATTAAGATTCTAGACAGGTGACAAAAGAATTTTTTAAAAATAGTATACACTTTTGATTCTATGAAAATGATTGAGAAGATTCCCGGTTATATTTTTTTATTAATCAGTAATGACCGTCTTACGCAACGTCATGAGTTATATAAAAGGTAAGTTTTCTTTTTTTAATGAGGTGATGTCTATTTTCAGATAATTTGTTACTTTATATAATCCCATGATTTTTACTTTATATACTTTATATACATGATTTTAACTTTGTTACTTTATATAATCCCATGATTGCTGTTAATAATTTTCTTATATTTTGTTGCGCAATTTGTTTTAAAATAGAATCAGAAGAAAAGTTTGTTAGAGGAATGGGAATTGCTTTCACAACTTTGTTGCGCAATTGCATTGAAAATGAATAAGATAACTAATAACTAAGTTTTTATGTTTGTGTACACGCATACACAGACAGTAAAGCATGAAACGGATTGTTAGGAATAATTTTGAACCTGTTGATCCGGCTTTTAAAATCTAATAATCCACTGTTATTTTAGTGTTGTGGTTTATACATTTCTTTACATTATGTTGCGAAATTTGTTTTAAAACAAAAGCAGAAAAAAAGTTTACCCGAGGAATGGGAATTACTTCCACAATTTTGCTGCGTGATCTCATTGAAAATAGATAATATAACTAATTAAAGTTATTATGCTTGTGTGTACGCATATAGGACGAATTCTAAAAATATTCAGGTCACACGAGCAGTGATAGAAAGACAGTCAGAAGAGATCAAAAAATTAAAAGAAGCAGGCAATTTTGGAACATCTTAGAATCAGTTGTTTCATTTATTTGTTGAGACTGGTTTTTTGATTGTAAGGCGTGTACTAATCCATCACGGGAAATGAAAATCATATAATCCTTGTTGATGTGTTTTTAATAAATTTTTTACAGCTTAAATATATTTTATTGATCGCAGCATCGGGATAAATTTATTTACCTTAAAGGAATCGTGTTGTGTTATTTATTATGGCTTTCTTGGAATGAGCAAAAAAATGCGATTTAGTGGAGTAAAATGAGGAGTTAAGGGAAAATGTCAAAGACAATATTATTGTGTGATTTAATACATTTCATAACTTAAAAACGACAATTTGAACAAGACTGGTTCACTTTTACTAACAAACCAAGTGGTCCATCAAATATTGGCACTAATCAGCGTCTAACTATTGGTACTGGAGATATCTATACTACTCAGCGGAATACGTAGGATATCCACAGGTTAAATGTACCTTTATATAGTAATTTTGGAGGGTCAGCCACAGATTACAGATTCTCAAATAAAAGAGAGTCACTTATCATCTTTTCATTCACCTGATATAACAAAATTAACAGCAAGAGAATCTGAAGAATAAATTAACAGCCATGACCAAGTTGAAGAAATTTTATTAAAACTGTTTAATTTAAGTCCTGGAAAATTACGGAAGAAATCTATCAAAGAGCAAAGACACCAAATGATAAAAAAAATTCTTCTTTAAAAAGGGTCTCAATAGTACAGGAAATATTCTCTGGGTACTCAGCCTACCATGCAAAGTGCAATGAAACACTTGATAACAGCCATGTATTTCATTAAAATATCCATAGGTGATTCTAGTGATTGATAGAGGATCTGTGTCGATGATTAATGCACTTTTTACTATTTTTGTAGATCTAGTTTCCTAAGACAAATCTAATGGGATCAAGGAATATCTTGATGTTTTTCAATTAGTCAGGTGCATGAAAAATCAGNCTTAAATAAAAGAGAGTCACTTATCATCTTTTCATTCACCTGATATAACAAAATTAACAGCAAGAGAATCTGAAGAATAAATTAACAGCCATGACCAAGTTGAAGAAATTTTATTAAAATTTTTTAATTTAAGTTCTGGAAAATTACGGATGAAATCTATCAAAGAGCGAAGACACCAAATGATAAAAAAATTGCTTCTTTAAAAAGGGTCTCAGTAGTACAGGGTACTCAGCCTACCATGCAAAGTGCAATGAAACACTTGATAACATCCTTGATAACAGTCATGTATTTCATTAAAATATCCATAGGTGATTCTAGTGATTGATAGAGGATCTGTGTCGATGATTAATGCACTTTTTACTATTTTTGTAGATCTAGTTTCCTAAGACAAATCTAATGGGATCAAGGAATATCTTGATGTTTTCAATTAGTCAGGTGCATGAAAAATCAGTTCTTTTTAATTTTTTTTTAACTTCTTTTATTTCATTTTATTTTATAACCGTCGTTGAATAGCCGACCCAGTTTTGATCTTACGACTACTAATGTACAACTCCGTAGCATTGTAGAATTGAGCCAATCCAGAAGACAAGGCAACGCCTGGATCAGTACCCCCAGAGGTAGTTGGTATGATTTGTTATGGGAGCATGGAGGACTTAGTGACTCGACGTATTTTTAACGTGCATCAGTCACCATTTTCTACACGGGGAGTCTTTTGCCGATGGGGATTGAACCCACTACCCCTTGTGCATGGGCCCAGTGCTCTACCTACCAGGCTGTCCTGTCCCCTTCTTTTATTTTATTCAATTTTTGTGAATGTCCATTTCATTCAGAGTTTAAAGAAATAAAATTAAGTAAAAGTTCTTTTGCTTACGCCTGGCTAACTGAAAAGTACCAACTACTTTTATGCGCATGTTAAGTTTTTTGATCGATTTGGCATAAATGTTCAGCATACTTCAGTTAAGTTCGTCACCCACAGTCAAACTTTGTGTAAATGTTTCATAGAACTGTCAAGCGGATCTTAACCAATCGGAACCTGTTTCGAATCAGGTTTCTACCATTTGCTCTTTTAACTTTGCGTACTATGATACAAGAAAAAGATTATCCCCATNAAATTTATAAAAAGAACCTGCAAGTGTCACTCTAAGCTGTAAGTTTACTGTCATCTCTGGCTGACGTTTTTACAGTTTTTATTTTCCCAATATTTAGCTTCACATCATCCTCATGCATCAAAATGAATTATGTGTCTGATTAGAGAAAAGCAATTTTACAGTGATACCGTGGCCAGCTATTTCACCAGATCTGAACACAATTAAAAATTTATTGAGTACTAAAAATATCCAGCTAACAGAAGCATTGATAGAAAAACGGTGCACTGAGATCAACAACCAGATCATAGAAAAATTAAAAGAAGCTGATAATTTTGGAACGAATAAGTTCTCACTATTAATTCTAAATAAATTAGTTAAGAGTTGTTAATTTTTGTTGAAACTGTTTTTTTCCTCCTATTTCAAGGTGTTGTGCTAACCGTGATGGAAATGATATAAGCTTTGTTAATGTTTCAAATAATTATTATTATTATTTCTTTTTAATAAAATATTTCTGTTCAGCTTGAATCGGTAAATATACAGATAAAACATACAGATGTTCTGATATTTTACTATTTTGGTTCATATCTTTATTTATTTATTATATTTTTTATGTAATTTGTTTTAAAATTGAAGATGAAAAAAAAGTTTTCACGAGAAATTGGACTAACTTTCCCAACTTTGTTAAGCAATGACTTAGCTAACCAAATAAATGAAATAATTAATTTAAGTTATTGCGTTTGTGTATTCAATCCCTAAAACGAAAAACGGAACATAACGGAAATAATTTTTAATCTAATGATCCTATTTCTATGTACTGAAATGTGATTAATAGTTTGCATACTAATAGACTATGAGAGTAAAAGTTTTCGAATTCATAACTTGAATTTCTTTCTTCTGAAAATATACCTGAATAACCACTGAGAACCTGAATAACCGCTTTTTGCAGTCTTGGGTATCATTGTTTCTTTGAATAAGAGTCAAATTATACGAAGAACATTTAAAACTTCGTACTCTTTTGATACTATATTTTTAATGTTTGCACTTTTCATTAGATATCGTAAATTATCTTTTATTTATTATCTTCTATCTATTATCTTTTATTTAAAATATTAGGATAATTAAAAAGTTTGTTACTAAAATTATCTTACCTTATTTATTTTTGTTTTATACTTACCTAAAATAAATAAAAATTTAACGAGTCAAATTTACATATTTCACACTATTTTTAAACACTAAAAAATCAAAATGAAGCATAAACTGATTCGACAATTTATTTAAAAAAATTGAAATATGAGAATAAAATTTTATGCGGTTCAAAATTAAAATATTTTATAATGAACACTAAAATTCAAGTACAAATGAAGAAAAAAGCTACTTAATATTTTTCAAAACCACCTTTAGCATTGATCACTGCGTATAAACAATCTTCCATAGAATAGAAGAACATTTTTTTTGCTGTCTGCATTAGCGCTAGTAGACTTAATGTTCTCAAATAGCTCAGCTTTGTTTCTAGGAACAATTCTTCCCAGTTCTTTCTTTACTATTTTCAAAAAATTTAAATTTGATAAGCATCTGGTGTATTAGCTAGTCATGGTAGCACTATAATTTTGTTTTGCTCCAGTCAGATTTTAGTTGATTTTGTATGAGGCGAGCATAAATCTTGTTTGAAAATAAAATCGTTCTCAAATATTCATGCAGCGCTCGAGAATATCTTGATATATCTTGATATCTGAAGCAACTTTTACCTTTCCAGGTACGTTTATGCTAATGTAACTTAACACTATCTCACTATAGCTGCAAACAACCGCACATTTCAAGCTTTCTTTAATAAATTTTTCATGTAATCTCTCTATTATTATTTCATCCACCAAACTCGAACGCTTTGACAACCATAAGACACGCATGGACATACTTTCGGCACTAAATATAGTTTTGCAACTCCATAAGTATCTTGATTTTCACCATCTTATTCTTGCAAGCTTTTGTTTTACAGTCGTTAGTGGTTTTGTTTCTGGAACACAAGATTGAAACTTAAATTTGAAGACGCCTTGCTGTCAATTTAGAAACATTAATTCTATCCTTCTTCTTTCCATTTTTTGATCATTAATTCCA